AAGCCTGGAGGACTTCAACTCCCAGAATTCCCTGGCTGGGGAATTCTGGGAGTTGAAGTCCTCCAGGCTTAAAGTTGCCAAGGTTGGAGAGGCCTGGCATAGATTGAGAGGCCGGATTTCCCACTCGCTCCCTGAATTTGCTGGCATTTGGGAAAGGGTTAATCCGGGTCCCAGACATACTCTTGAAGCTAACCAGACAGAAATCGTGCCTCTGACCATGTACAGAGTCTTCATTCCAGGCCAGGGCGAGGATTCCTTGAGCTTTACTTTATCCCTTCTGTTGAGACCAAGTCGAGTTACTGTATGTGTCTTGTTTTCTAGGATTGAAGCCTTGGCATCAGGAATAATTGCGACATCTTTGCTGTTTGCTGATCCTTTCTACTGTTGCTGGGTGCCTTTATTATTGGTATATGCATTTTGAGTATTCATATATATGTGGGTGCCGAGTGTATCTTTTAGCATAAATAGTTGGTTCTGCTGAAATAGGAACTTCTGATTTTGTGGGTTAATGCTTCATGTGGTCTGTGCTGGGGAGGAAAGCTATGGCAAATCTAGACAGCATACTAAAAAGCAGAGACATCACCCTGCCAACACAAGTGTGTCTAGTCAAGGCTATGGTTTTCCCAGTTGCAATGTATGGCTGTGAAAGTTGGATCATAAGGAGTGCCAAAGAATGGAGGCCTTTGAACTATGATGCTGGAGAAGACTCCTGCGAGTCCCTTGGACTGCAAGACGATCAAACCGGTCAGTCCTAGAGGAGATCAACCCTGGCTGCTCTTTAGAAGGCCAGAAGATGAGACTCAAATACTTTGGCCACTAATGAGAAGGAAGGACTCACTGGAGAAGAGCCTCATGCTGGGAAAGATTGAGGGCAAAAGAAGGGGACGATAGAGAAGGAAGTGGCTGGATGGAGTCACTAAAGCAGTAAGCTTGAGCTTAAACGGATTCCAGAGAATGGTAGAGGACAGGAAGGCCTGGAGGAACATGGTCCATGGTGTCGCAACATGACTTCGCAACTAATAACAATTGTCTGTGCTTGTTTGCTTATTTTTAAATATTTCTCAAAAGAACATTATGTATAGTCCATTCTTGAGGTAGAAATAGACTCAAGCCGGTCTCATTGCACTGAGCTATGAGGGGTATCTTGCATCTCATCAATCTTGCTTTTCATTCATATATTTTCCAGATTTGCATTTAACAACAAATTAGGATGAGGGGAAATTCTCTGTAGATAAGGCTGTGGGAATCTTGGGAATCCTGTTTTCTTCCTAGGGATAAGAGAAAAACAAGTTTCTTTCTAGATCTAAGGACATTTTTAGCTGGACCCATTTGTTGACTAAGTAGTTACGTTAAGCAATTGTGTATTCTTACCTCAGCTGCTATGTTTAAATTTTGTTCTGTTTTTCAATCATGTCATATATTTGAAATGGGTGACCAAAATGCCTCAATAATATATTTATTACCTGTTTTTAGCTCTATTTTACGTCACCCCAAGTTGCTTATTTGTGAGATGGGCAGCTGCATAAATTGGTTTAATAAATAAAATAAAACATACATTAAATAAGTGAGATCCATCTCCATACTCCTGGCCTGCTGGAAAAGTTGGAAAACATGGCTCTGTCACTAGATCTGGAGCTCTGACACAGATCTGCTGCATTGAGGGTGGCTGACTAGGTCATCTTGGGTTTTATCTTTTCAACTATTTCAATTGTTTTGTAATATTTTTTAGCATATTGTAAGTCTCCCAGAGTTGCTGTATCAGTGAGAGAGGGGGCATAATTTTTCCCCCTGTAGAATATTGTAATTTTATTTTAAACCAATGGAACATATCACATTGAAGGAGTATATGAATCAATATTGGCTATTTGCTTTTATTATGAATTGCTTATGTTATTATATAATTGTTACTGATCAAACCC